AAGATCACAAAGGACATTGGGAACCTAAACCATAGGCCAATGGACCTAATGAACATATATAGAACATTCTACCCGGTATCAGAACAATACACATTCTTCTCCAGCACATATGGATCATTTTTCAGAATAGACCATATGCTAGGACACAAAACAGTTCTTGAAAAATTTTGAAAGATTGAAATCATAAAAGTATCCTTTCTGACCATACGCTATTGTTGTTAAGTGCTGTTGAGTCCTTGCCGACCTTGTATGGGGTTTCTGATGACCTAATGATAGAGAGCTAGAAATAAAAAAAAAAAAAAACAGGAAAAAAGATACTTGGAAACTAAAGATACACTATTAGAAAACTATTGTCTATAAATCAAAAGTAAACTTTAAAAAATTCCTAGAACCAAATGAAAATAAAAACACAACGTATCAGAATCTTTGGGATACAGCAAAAGCAGTCGTCAGAAGGAAATTCATAGCAATAAATGCCTACATTACAAAAGAAGGAAGACCCAAAGTCTTAACTTAAACTGACAACTTGAACAAACAGAAAAGAAAGAGCAAAAGAAGCCCAAAGCTACCAGTAGACAAGGAAGTAATAAAGATCAGGGCAGAAATAGATGAAATAGAAAATAGAAAAACAATAGAATCAGCAAAACCAGCAGTTGATTTTTTGAAAGGATGTGTGTATGTGTGTGTGCTGAGTTCTGTAGTCAGTTCCAACTCTTAGGGACTCTGTATAGGATTTCCGAGGAGCAGCTGTTGGATTTGAACTGCTGACCTTAAGGCAAATTATTTTTAGTGATTTTAAAAAAATGGTGGTGAATATAGATGTAGTAAGCACAGCACAGCCATAGTAAAAATGAATTTTTATGCATATATTGATAAATACAGGCCAATAGATGTGTAGGTATGTAATAGGAGTGCTTGTAGTGTTGTGGATTGTGAGTTGGGCTACTAAGCACAAGCTTAGCATTTCAAATCTACCAGCTCCTCTGCTGGAGAAAGATGAGACTTTTTGCTCCCGTAAAGATTGACAGCCTTGGAACTCTATACAGTTGGCTCAGTGGTACAGAAGCACCCCCACCAGGTATAGACATAGGTGAGAACGGATAGAAATATTGTTGTTAGGTGCTGTTGGGTTAGTTCCTTCTCACAATGACCCTGTTCATCACAGTTCTGCACCTTCCTCACAGCTTTTATGTTTCAGTCCGTTGCTGATGTCACTGTGTCAGTCCATCTCATTGAGGGTCTTCCTCTTACTTTGGTGACCCTTCATTTTACTAAGCATGGTGTCCTTCTCCAAGGACTGGTCCCTTCTGAGAGTATGTCCAAAAAATGAGAGACGAAGTCTTGCCATCGTCATTTAAAAAGAACATTCATTCTGGTTGTACTTCTTCCAAAACACATTTGTGTGTTCTTTTGTCACTCTGTGTTACTTTCTATATTCTTCACCAACACCGTGATTCAAATGCATCAGTTCTATAGTCTTCCTTTTTCAACTTTCACATGCATATGAGGCAATTGAAAATGCCAGGTTTAGGTCAGACACACCTTAGTCCTGACTGACACCTTTACACGATAAAAGGGCTTTTGTAGCAGATTTCCCTAATGCAGTACCGTTATTTGATCTCTTGACTACTGCTTCCTTGAGTGTTGACTGTGGGTCCAAACAAAATGAAGTCTTTGACAACTTTCAATCTTTGTGCCTTTTATTGTGATGCTACTTATTTGTCCAGTTATAAGGATTTTTGTTTTCTTTACATTGAGGTGCAATCCATACTGAAGACTATAGTCTGTGTGCTTCAAGTCCTCTTTGATTCTAGCAAGCAGGTTGTGTCATCTGCATACTGCAGGTTTGTTAATGTGTCTTCCTCCAATCTTAGTGTCATGTTGTTCTTCATATAATCCAGCTTCTCAGATTATTAGCTCAGCATACAGATTGATTATGCATGGTGAAAGAATGTAACCCTGGCACACTGATTTTAAACCATTCAGTATCCCCATTTTTCTGTTAGAACAACTGCCTCTTGGTATATGTACAGGTTTCTGATGAAGTATCTCTGTTGTTGTTAAGTGTCATTGAGTTGGTTCCGACTCATAGCGACCCTAAGTACATATAGATACAAATATGTGGGTGCAGACAAATATGTTAAAGATATACAGGTAATTCCTTAGACATAACTTAACATCTGCCAACATGGGTCTCCTGGTGCTGGTAACATAATTTGCAAAAATCATGATTTGTATCTTGGTGAAGTGAGTATCATCTGAGGTCTTAAAAGTTTGCAAGTGGTCATGTAAGACACAACTATAGGCCTCTTACTCACTAAGAGCAAAATAGTAAGAAGGTTACTAAAAGAAAGAGGTCTACACGAGCCATAACCTTGTCTACCCTGAGACCAAGAAAACTAGATGATGCCCAGCTATTTACACTGACAATGGTGTCTTGGTTACAATAATTGTTCCTGGATAGAATGGGAGAAAAGTATGGAGCAGAGCGCAAATTAAAATAATTAAAAAAAAAAAAAAAAAAAAGCCAAACTGGAATGGAGAAGAACAGGACTCCCTGAGACTATTGCCCTAAGACATTCTTTAGACCTAGAACCCAGCCTCAACCCTGAGATCACCTTGGTGAACCAGCAGAGTAGCACACAAAATAAAGAATATTACTCCTGATTGATGGCTTACTTAACCGCCTTCATTATGAGACCAAAATATTCAATAGCAGAGATGAGAAGATAAAGGAACTAGAGTACTGGTTGTTGTTGTTAAGTGCCATTGAGTCGGTTCCGACTCATGGCGACCCTATATAGGGTTTCTAAGGAGCGACTGGTGAGTTTGAAACGCCAACCTTCTGGTTCAAGCTAACCTTGCAGTCTAGTGCTTTTCTCCCACAGCGCCAGGACTCCAAAGTACTGGAAAGGAACCAAGTTGAACAAAAACAAAATGTTGGCATATTGTGAGTAAATGTAACTAACAATTATCAAAATGAAAATTGTCAGATGGGAACTTAGCTTGCTATGTAAAATACAAAATACTCAACTATTATCTTAAGAAAAAATAAGGTAAAAAAGAAGCTAGAGCCATGATTCAAACCCTGGTGTCTCTGACACAGGATTCATAGTGGAGGAAGATGATGGAGGAGAGACATATGAATCCATAGCATTTGGCTTGGGAGAAACCTAGTGTCGTGCATTCCTTTCTGGAAGTTTGAACATTACAGATAATCGGTAGTGTATCAGGGTGCTTTCAGATGCAGATAACAGGATACCAGTAAAGCCCGGTGTCACCTCCACGGATTTATGTTTTCTTACATAGCAGGAAGTTCAGAGGCAGGCAGTTACAAGGCTGCTTTAGTGACAAAGTGACATCGGTGGTAATAATTATAATATTACATACTATCAGCACCAGGACCCAAACATGGAAGGACGAGAGTGGGGCGTTTTCTCATCTTTGTTTTTTCATTTGGTGGGAAATCTTTCCCTCAGGTCTCCTTGGCCAGAACTGGTACAGAACCATGTTCAAGCTTCAAATAAGGCTGGGAAAGCAGGTGTCTGAATTTTAGCTCTGTGATATAGCAGACTCATTCAGAAGGGAGATGGGAGGGAGTGTACCAGGTACACAGTAGGCAATCTCCAGAGGGCAGCTCTGAATACCAACAATATACGTGGTGAGGACAGAGAAAGCACAGAGGATCCAGAGTGCCGAGGTGGAGTGTCCAGGGAGGTGGGAGCTAAGGATTTAGAGGAAGGAGTAAGATTCCAACAGATAAAGAAGGACCCGGTGAAATATTTACACTTAATCAGAGTTTGTAAGTGTGTCTAGCTTTAGTTCCTGATCTTTTAAGTATATACTCAGAGGCAGTGAACCTGATCCAAGAGTTGAAAGATGAGTGATTTTGAAGGTGGAGGACAAAGTAGCGGGCAACCTGGGCAAAGAGAGTTGTATCTCACTCTGAAAAGTCAGGAAAGTGTGGTATAAGTTGGTGTTTTGGGGTCACAGAAGTATCCCAGTGTGGTTTTATTTGAGAACACAAGTGTCTGGGGTGGAGGGAGGGGGTTGGGAATGTTGTGAGATTGGAGCTAAGTAATGGAGATCCTTAGAGTCTAGGCTGGGAATTTCAGACTTTGTGCTTTGTTGATTTGACTGCCTTTGCACTAGTGGGACATTAGATGTTTCTGAGCAGAGAATAACATGAATGAAACACATGTTTGAATGGCAATCCCATTGAGAGTATAGCAGGGAGGCATGAGTAAAGTAAGGTAATAGGCCTGAACTGTAGGCACAGAAAAGACTGAACCAGTGTAGAAGACATTTTGTTGTTGTTGTTAGGTACCATTGAGTTGGTACTTAGCTCTAAGTTTCTAAGTACCATAGAGACCCTGTATAGGGTTTCCGAGGTGCAGCTGGTGAGCTTGAACCACCGACCTTGTGGTTTAAACCAACTTTGCAGTCCAGCGTGTTAACCCACAGTGCCACACCAGGCCTCCGAAGACATTTTAGGGGAAGAATGAACAGTTTTAATTGCCTGATTGACTAGGAGATTGTCTAGAAGGTTAATATCGCTCCCACGTTTTGAGCTTGGATTAGGGATAGTGGTAATACCATTGACTGATGGTGGGTAACAGAAGAGAGAGCAGATTAGGAAGGGTGAGGGAGAGGTTGAGAGTTCAGCTTTAAATTTAGCTCTGTGGACTCTTGAGTTGTTGTGGTAAAGAGGTCCAGCTGGATATATGAGTTTAGACCTCAGGGAAGACATCTGTGGAGGTTAAACTGCCTCCCCCAGATCTCCTGTTTTGTTTGCTGTTAGGGCACGTAACGGATGGCGTTCCCCTCTTGCCTCCTCTTTGAAGCTCACTCATACCCCTTTGGGTCTGGTGACACCTTGGTTCACAGAAGTAACCTTCATTGCATACTATGTTTTCTCATTACTTAAATTTTTTTTAGAAAAAAGTTTAGAAAGTTCCATCTGTACTATCCATAAATCACTATTTGTGCTTGTTTTATAGGTTCTGCGACTATTTTTGCTTATGGTTCAGAGCTGCATAATTCTCTGACATCAGAAATTCATTTCCTGAGGAAGCAGAACCAGGCCCTCAATATAATGCTTGCTAAAGGATCTAGAGGTAAGAATAAGGGAGCCAGCTGCAGCATGGAGCTACAAAGCAGCTGTGTGTTGGAGAGCGTGTGGTTCAAGTCCTTTGACCTAGGTCATTTAGCCTCTCCAATCATCAGTCTCCTTATCTGTAAACTAGATGTATTGCATAGGGCTCTTTGACAGTTGATTGATGTAAAACACTCAGCATGGTGACTATAACATAATAAGGATTCAGTAAACAATTGTTTCTTTACTTGTCACCTACCCCTTATATACAGCCACATCTCATTCATCTGGGTCCCCAGTGGAAGAGAAGGGGCAGGGAATATATTACTGTCAAGGTCTCAGCTAGAAATGTCATGCCTTCAGCAGAGTATTTGTTGTAAAGATCCCTTCCCTTAATTCCTCCTATCTGGAGCTTAGAAGCCTTCCGAAGAGCTTTTATTTATATATTACCTTTTAATACTTAAAAAAGTTTCTGGGACAAGGTAGTATTAACCCTGTTTTGTAGGTAAAAAACTGAGGTCTAGGGAGTTTACCAGCCTGTAGTCAAAGAGTTAGAAGGTGGTGGAACTGCAATTTGGATCAGCTTACCCAACCTTCCCTAGGGAATATTGGTGCTGATTTGGGCTTATGTCCTAGTTATTTAGCGCTGCAATCACAAATAGCAAAACTGATGGCTTTAACAAATGGAAATTTATTCTCTCTTACTTTAGGAGGTTAGAACTGCACATTCAGGGCACCCACTCCAGGGGAAGGCTCTCTCTCTGTTGGCTCACAGTTTAGGAGGAAGGTCTTTGTCTCCGCTCCTTTCACCGCTCTGGGCCTGGCATGCCTTGGAGATCTCCATGTATCTTGGCATCAGCCTTCCCTTGGGTGTAGGAGGTTCTCAGCACAGGGACCCTGGGACTAAAGAGTGTTTTGCCATTAGCTCTTCTTTCTTGGTGGTGGTAGGTTCCTGTCTTTAGACTCAGTTGTTTAGTTTTATTTATATTTCAAAAGAGATTTGCTCAAGATACAACCTAATCCTGTAGGGTAGCATCCTGCCTCAGTAGCACCATGCGGTCTGCCTCTTATCCTGTCCAACATGCATCATGTTGTTGTTGTTAGTGCCATCAGGTCAGTTCTGAGTCATAGTGACTCTGATAGGGTTTCCAAGGAGCAGCTGGTGAGTTTGAAACACAGACCTAACCCAGAGGATAATTACACAGGATCTCAAAATGGAGGATAGTTACATTATACTGAGACTCATAACTTAGCCAAGTTGACACATTTTGCAGGGGTGGGACACACAGTTCAATCTACAACTGTTTAGGAGACGAAATTGGGACTTTGGTAAATTATCCATTCACTCAGCAAACTTATGGCTCTTGTCCTATGTCAGGCCCTGAATAGACTCTGGTGAGCCCTGGCAAGCCAGAGTGCTGCTTAGCCAGGATAAAGATGCGTGAGGAGCTGCAGAGCTCTGGAGAAGGCACCCGGACTTGAACAAAGCTGGTCTGAGCTATCTCTAAAAGAACGATAAGGGATTCGCTAAGACAGAGGAACCAGGACCTTTTAAATAAAAGGAAAGAGCAGACATACGCCTAGGGTTAGAGGTGGGGGACAGGGCCCCAGACTCATTTACACAACCCTACTGGTGTCCTCGAATGAGACTTGCAGACTAACACCCACTGCCAGAGCTGTGGCCTGTTCCTGTCCTCTGCCTGTAGTTTCTACCCACTATTTGTTCCATGAAGGCACATTCACTAGGTTTACATGGCCCATTATTTAATAGAAAATTAAACTGGTCCATTTCATCTGAGTGACGTTTAATCTGCAGCCTTGATGTTGACAGATTTATCTGACCAAAATGCAAAAGATAATTGGAATGGCAAAATCACAAATGCCAGATTAAATCTTATTCTCTTTGTATTTCCGGAGTGCTTGCGCTAAAGTGCTGTATTTGCGTAATAAGACTGGAGAAAACAAATGGTTTCCTTTCTCAGAGATGCTTTTTTTTGTATTTGCAGATAAACAGAAGGAGAATGAAAAATTACGGGAGTCCCTGTCCAGGAAAACTGCAGACCTCGAGCACCTTCAGCGAGAGTATGCCTGTGTGAAAGGAGAAAATGAGCAGTTGCAGACGGAAGTCAGTGAGATGGAGAAACACAGCCAGCAGCTGGTCCAGGAGATCCACAACAGCCGCAATGAACTGTGCAGGTAGTGGTGTAGACTCACCTGTCCCCTGTTGGCCAACCCCCTCATCCAGGCCCTGAGGCTGCAGTCATGAAACAAAACACCCTCGCCCCTGCCCTAGAGCAAAGGGACAACAGATACATATGCTAGGCGATGATCATTCTGACCCATCCCAGCCTTGTAGGACAGGGTAGAACTGCCCCATAGACTTTCCAAGGCTGTAAATCTCTACAGAAGCAGACTGCCACATCTTTCCTGAGCAGAACCTTTCAGTTAGCTGCTGAGCACTTACCCGTTGTGCCACCACAGCTGCTTCTAGGGATAAGCTTGTTGTTAAGTGCTGTCAGTCGGTTCTGACTCATAGTGACCCGGTAGACGGTTTCCAGTGAGTGGCTGACGGGTTTGAACTGCTGACTTTGTGGTTAGCAGTCCAGGGCTTATCCTACAGTGCCACACCAGGAATCTGTTGATAAACTAGTTGGAGGCAAATGATGTAAATAAAGGGATGAGACCAGGGGACAACTTTTTTTTGTTTGTTTGCATTAACAAAATTTATATTTAGAGTTTGCCAGCAGGACTCAGTTCTCAGTTTAGATGATCCCAGTTTGGTTGGCAACATCCAAAGCATCGTAGTGGTGGGTCAGTTGAACCTGGATTGTCCAGGGGCGGTGAGGGAGGACTTCTTTGAAAAGATGAAGTCAGTGAGGGAGTGAGCTTGGCCGTCCTGGGGAAAGGCCATGGGCAGTAAGTAAGGACAGTAGCCCCGTAGCAGAGTGCCCTTGGCCTCTGTGAGGACAGCAGGGAGACCAGTGCATGTGGGGAGGGAGATGGGGGTGTTGGAGAGGCTGAGGCCCGAAACTAGCCTAATGCTGAATCACACAGGACCTTGTTGCCTTTGTCAGGACTTCGGTTGCTGTTTTGAGCAAGATACAAAGGCTCTGGGAGTTGGTCAGCAGATAAGTGACATGAACCTGGCTTAGGTTTGAAAGGATCAGGCTGACAACTCTTTTGCATTTCCCCCTTAGAGTCTGTGTTGTTCCATGGGTTTAGTTGTCAGCACTCAAGAAGGCCTCATTGTTTAAATGGTACTGGTCTCACCCTTGACCATCCATGGTGTTGTGGTGACCTAACGAGATCATGGTCTTTGCACTCAGCCCTGGGTTAAGTCCTGCCTCCTTTCTAGCTGTGCACCCTGGGTAATGGGTATCTTTCTGAGCCTCACTTTCTCATGTCCTCTGTGAACTAAGGGTTAGGGTGTCTTGTGACGGTTGCATTAGATAGCATGTGTAAAGGGCTGGGGCACAGAGGGAATCTTGGGAAATAATGGCTCTGGCTTGCATTCTTTTCCACACTTGTCACCTTGGACAACACTGTTCTGGCTGAGGTGGAATGAGTACGTCATATTAGGTCAGAACTAGCCTCTTCTTCCCGTGGTGTTGGGGCCACTTTGGGGGTGGGGTGTGAGTACATCATTGTAGATCAGAGCTAACCTCTTCTCCTGTGGTGATGTGGCATTTTCAGGGCACAGGAGGAGGTGAAGTTGAGGCAGCAACTGCTCTCACAGAATGACAAGCTCCTCCAGTCCCTTCGAGTGGAGCTGAAGGTGTATGAGAAGCTGGATGAAGAACACAGGCGACCACGAGGTACTGGACACTCTGGTACGAGACCCTTCTCATCCTGGAACTGCTGTTAGCCTGCAGGGTCAGCTGACAGCAGGAGGGGGAGGGAGGGAGAAACTGCAGGCTTTACTGAAATGCTGTCATCAAACCTCAATTTGCCGTAATGGGTTGTGGTTGTTGTTGTTAAGTGCCGTCAAATTGTTTCCAATCTATAACAACCCTGTGTAGGGTTTCCTAGGAGTGGCTGGTGAGTTTGAACCACTGATCTTGTAGTTCAAACCAACTTTGTGGTTGCATGCTTATCCTACAGCTTGAGCAGGTATATTTTGAAGCAAATTCTTTGTATCCACTCTTGCTTTGAAGAAACATCAGGAAACACAGAAAGACTTAGGCTCAGGAGTCAGGCCAGTTGGAGTCTGAATTTTGATTCCTTTCCTTCCTGGCTATGTGATCTTCAACAAGTCAATCATCTGTCTGGCCCTGTTTCTTCCTCTGTAAAACATGTTTGTTCCGAAGATTAAATGAGATAATTTATTAAAAACATCTTATTATAGAATCCTGACACAGAGGTAAGCTATCAGGAAATAGCTTTTATTATAATTTTCTTGATAATATTTATTTCTTTAGCCCATTCATTTATCAAATGTTTACTGAACATCTCCCACATACTAGACATTGCTCTGGACATTGTTGCTAGCCCAGTTCCTCTCTGCATCCTGAAAGAGATCCCAGATTAGAGTGATTCTTCTCTGAAGTTGGAATGTTTCAGAATCAGTTTGCGATGTGGTGGGGGTTTTTTGTTTATTATTATTATTTTTTTAATGTTTTATTGTGAATTATGTGATAGTTTACATGGGAGAACATTAGTTTTACATTCATCCTATCGTATAGTGTTTCATTGCCATGCTTACAATCCCCTCCATGCATCATCAACCAACCCGAGGGTATACCCTGCAAGCCTACCCCCTAGTCGCCAGCACACAGCCCCTCTCCCTCTCTGGGTCTAAAGTCCCCAGCTGTAACTCTCCATGTCATCGTCTCTGCCTCCATCTCAGGTCCTCCATCTCCACTCCTAGACTGCAAAGTTAATCACTCCCCTCCTTGCTACAAAACATCTACCTTTACATTTCCAACCCTCACAATCAGTCCTGATAACAATTATTCACTACTGTATCACAAGAGACCTATCCACATTTCCTTTCATCAGCCCCGCCTAGACACGTTGGATACTACTCAGTGGAGATTCTACCTTCCTCCATGCCCTCTGGATCTAGGTTCCCTCTTGAAAGCTTGTAAGCCAGTCACTTTGTTGTAGTCCCCCCATTTTGGGTAGCCAATGTCCAAGACAATCCCTGTCTACTCTGTGTATGGAGGGGTTGGGAATAATCCTCGCTGTAAAGATTTGAACCCTCTTTTGAGCTGCTGCGTCCATAGGTGTAGGTCAAGTATATCAAATTGTATCAGATTACTCTTTTTTTCTCGTACGGTGGGGTTTTATTGTGTTTGTTTGAACTAATTTTCCAGATGGTTTCTCCATATTGAAAGTTCATCTAGAAAAGGGTCATCTCACAGATTTGATTTTCTCCTCAAGTTGCTTTTCTTGTCCTTGCTGTTGTACCTTTTTAATATACTGCGGCTTTTAAAATCAGCCCCTTTCATTCTATAATTCCAACCCAAATAGATTTTATTACTACTAGACATAATTTCGGGGTTTGGTGTGCAATTTGCTAGGCTTTTATGGCCAGAAGTGAAAATTAATTTCCAGCTCTTATTTAGCCTGTGGAATAGCAGCAATTAAGCCTGCCAATATTTTTGTTTTTAAAGTCTAGTTGTTATTTTAAATTGTACCTTGTTCTCCAGGAGGGGAGGGGGAGGGTGATGGCAGGTGTAAAACACTCTTGAGTTCCTTTGATAATGGATCGTGGATCATGGGAAATGTTAAGGTGTTCCCTTGTACATGTTTGCAGAGACATCAGGAGAAGGCTGGAAGGGCCAGGACCCTGTCAGTGACCTGCATGGCCTCCTGAGAGAGATCCAGGCTCTGCGGGCGCACTTGGAGAGGAGCATCGAAACCAACAGTACCCTACAGAGCAAGCTGGAGGAGCAGCTGGCCAAGGCTGAGAAGACGGCCTTGGAAGCTGCATGCCCTTTGGCTGTCCAAACCCTACCCATCCCCGAGCGGCCCCTTCAGCTAGACAAACACGGTACTGCACCTGCCTCCCCTTCACTTCTTGACAGTGTCGCTCTGTGTGGCCACTTAGAACTTGAGCTTTTGAGTGATGCCCTAGCCCCATGAAGGTGTGTTTCCATTGACAGCCAGCATACTATACCCTAGGAGCCAGGGGACATGGCTGCTAATTAGCTGTCACCATTGGTAAAATGGTGTAATCTGTTTGTGGCCTCTTGTTTCTCAGGGAAGTAGAATTTGGGCTTCCAGCTGCCCTCGGTGCCTCTGGTCTTGCTCCTTCCATCTTTTTAGTTCTACCTATATCACTCCACTGCTGAAAATCCTTCCTAGTTCCATACTACCTTTGTAAGAGCATCTAAACCCTTGATTCGGACTTTCATTGTCTTTAAAATCTGGAAACGCATCATAGTAAGTTTAAAAAGTGATTCTGTTTTCCAGTTTGATTACAAAGTTTATTGTCTAGTTCTAAGAAACTTGGGCAAAAAGGCTGGGGGTTCTGGTCATCCCTCTGCACAGTACAGAGCCTTGACCCAAGCAGCTAATGGTCAGGCTCAAAGCAGCCAGCCAGGCCATTCTCTTGGCTTTATATTTATAAACAAATGAACTAAGACCCAGATTGAGGGGTAGGGGGCTTGCCCAAGTGGACACAGAAAATAGGTGGCACAGCTGGAGCCACCTAGAAACCAGAAACCATTTTCCAGACCCTGGACTCAACTCTTTCAGAACCTGATGTTCCGGAGCCTCAGTTGTCAGGATTATCATCCTCATGCCTACAATGTGGATGTTTGAGTCCAGTGAGACAAGGAATGCTGACATAGCTTTATAAATACGAGGAATTGTATAAAAGCTTGGATTTATCTTTACTGGACTTGGGTGTATTATTGTTTTATTGAGAGGAAAATAAAACAAACATCTCTTAAAGAGCACCCTGTGATCCACCACTCCTGGCAGTGATTGGATTGTTGGTTTTGTCCTACTAAGTATTTTAAAATTGTAATAAAAAAGGTGATATAATGATGTAAAAAATTTGAAAAAACAATTCATTATTCTAAAACCAATCTTTATTTTTACTTAGCCTGTTTCCTTTCATTTGTTAATTAAATGCAGACATGCATTGATATTGTTCACATTGGTTTTTGTGCCATCATATAGTCTTGCTTTATTTTTGCCCAATATGACAGCATATTGCCCAATATGACAGGATCTTGGCTGAAAGCAGAGAATATCAGAAGGATGTTTACCTGTGCTTTATTGACTGTGCAAAGGCTTTCGATTGTGTGGATCATGACAAGCTATGGACAACATTGAGAAGTATGAGTATTCCAGAACACT